TTCCAGGCTGTTGTCAAGTTCATAATTATCATTGCATATCACTAAGTCATAACATTAATTACTTGTTTGTTTTTAAAATAAAATAAAATAACACTTGATAAAACAGTAACATATAAATCAATACCTTCTTTTAGCTGGAAACCTCCATAAAGTATTGCAGTAAGTTGATTCCAAGCATAGCTTGGTAAAAAATAACTTGCTTCTTCCAGAGCTGCAGATCTGAGCATGCGCGACCACACCCAAATTTTGGAGCACATGGCAAGATTCTTTAATTAACAAAATGGCGGCATGCAGCTAAGATGGCTCGATCCAGCAGTCACAGTATCACTTTTTCCTTACTTGAAGAATGATCTGATGGGACATGGACCTGCGCATAGACTGTTGGAGTAGATTGGTGTAAGAATTATCCTCGTAGCACCAACTGATACTGAGATACACACCGACAACTGGATTGACAGGACTTGATGATGAAGATGATGAAGATGATGAAGATGAAAAAAGGTGGCTGAACAAAACGGCCGGTTCGCCGATTTTTGACTTTTCACTTAGACAAGGTCTAGAGCCACGCTAGTTGTACCATTGGAGTCCTCTGGTCAAGATAAGGTCCTCTATAAAGTCTGGTAAGCATTGGAGCTCGTTTTCCCGGTATAGCAAGGCTGCAAAAGTCGTGGCAGCCATTTTGTTTGGGGGTGAATCCTACTTAGTAACGCTACCGCGTTACTAATAGTACAGGGATTTTTGTGAAATTTCACCAAAATTGACAAGTAGAAAATTCCTCAATTTTATTACATTTTCTGATACATATACATGTACTTATTTATTTATTTATTTATTTTATTTCAGATATCTAACAAATACGACATCCCTGATGAGATGATTCACTTCATCTACAAGAAGACAAAGAAAGGGTAAGGACCCTCTCTTGTATCCATAGCAACACTAACTCCTCCCCTTTAGGCTGATAGTCCGATTTGACGATGAGCTAGTGACACGATTTGAAGACGAAGATGACTTCATTATTGATCTTGATTTCGACAATCAAAAAGGTCATTTTGATCTCTACATCAGATATTAGCTTTATAACAGTGTGTCTTCAAACCACCATCTTTCAATTCATCATCTACTCCTGTAAATAAGTTGAGACTTCTGCCCTACCTCCCTCTCTCTCTCTCTCTCCCACGGTCTCTATTCTTCTTCTTCATGACTATGCACCTGTTGATTGATTCTTCCGTTTTTGTGAAGTCTTTTAAACACCACCGCATGTATTATTAATTGACAAGAGGCGAGACCACACCCCTCACTAATTAACCCTCCCTCTTCACATCTCCATTTTATGGAGATTTTTAATATTATTATCATTATTATTATTATTATTATTTTATTATTGGTACATGTGATAAACAGAATTTATTTTTCTGTTTCAAACTCCTCCCCCTTCTCTCTCCCTTTCCCAATCTCTTGTTCATCTACTTACACTTCATTTGCACACTATAAGGAACATAATATTATATTAATTATAATTATTGTTGCTTTAAAATTATTACATATATATATGACCTAAAACCCCTCTCTCTTTTCTCTCTCTCTCTTTCTGTTTTATTTTGTTTCGTTTTTGAAGCACCTCCTCCCCCTCTCTCTCTCTGATTGTTTGTGACCAATGTTGCTCAAAGTTATAATTATTTGTGAACTTGGTCTGTTTAAAATAATATTATATATAATGTATAAATAACTGTTTGATGCATTTAAAATGACTGCAGTCTACTCGATGTACAGAAATCATTATACAAAGACCGTCTTTAAACTTTTGCTGAAATGAAGGTATAATTACTGCTTGGTCTGTTGTTTGGGTGACTCTGTATATCAATGATGCTGAATCCAACCTCTTTTAATAACAATGAAAGATATTTCGGAGAAAGTAGAAGCAAACAGAACTCAGTCCCAGTTTGAGACTTGCTCATGAAATATCGCTCATAGCAGTAGTCAATGGAAGAAGGAGTTGTTCCAACTACCAGTAGCAAGTGACCTCCTGGCTTTATGAGGCGATGCAACCTTTTCAATTGTTCTTTATATTGAGGCACTGTCTCTGCAGCCCCATCAATTACAAGACTGCATATTACTGTATCATAAGGACTACTGTAGCTAGCTGGTAGAGGAGGATCTTGTCTTATATCACAAGGCACTATAGCCTTGATCTTTGAACGTAAGAGCTCTTCTCTCTCTCTTACTTCTCTCTCGTCTTTTCCTTCCAAAGTCTCCACGACATATTTGAAATGAGTGGACCAGTCGAACTTGAATTGAAGATCTTTTGTTAGCCATTGGTTCAATAATGACAGACTCTTCCTTGAATAATCAGCAAGCACAATAGACCGGGCATACCTTGAGGTGCTAATCACATTTGATATAACAGGACCACAGCCTATATCAAGTACATCCAGAACCTCATCTTTATGTTGTAGAGTTTCAAAGAACTTGTGAATGTTTTGAAGAATAAAATGAGAGAAGAGATCATCAGGAGATGAAGGATCCTTATACCATTCTGTTAGATACTGGAGAGGACTGAAATCATCTCTGTACTTGTTCTCCATTTATTAGCAGCAGCCCTTCAGTGACCTAATGACTAAATTATGTTATTACTGACCATGAAGCCATTACAATAGAAGCCTAGCCCATTCTTTGTCAGGCAACAAAGTGGATTAAACTAAGCACTGGATTGCTGCCAAATATCCACTATGATAATAATAGTCATTATTCAAAAAACAATACTAATACATTATTGAATGAAGTCTGATTTGTTCATATCCACTCCTTTGGTTCTTTGAGAACTCTCAGCAGTGTATCTTCAGGACTATTGGCTTGAGGTGAGTGCATATATTCCCATTGAGCCACTAAAGGCAGTGACATTAAGATGCTCTCTATTCTTGCTGAGGGAGTAGATAGACCAAACTTTGTCCCTCGATCATAAACCAGATTAAACTCAACGTATCTGCCCCGTCTCAGCCTCTGCCATCTTGCATTCTCTTCAGTGTAGGGTTTGTCTTTATTCTTATAAACCAGTGGAAGGTATGATGGTATCACTGCTTCAGCACATGCACGCACAAACTGAAAGGTTTTCTCTTTGTTGGGCGAGTCAAGATCGTCGAAAAATATCCCACCAACTCCTCGTCTCTCTCCTCGGTGATCGACGTAGAAATAATCGTCACACCATTTCTTAAATTTAGGATAAAGCGCAGGGTCACTGGAGTCACAGGCAGCCTTGAGTGTCGAGTGAAAATGGCGAGCATCATCTTCGTCTAAATAGTACGGAGTTAGGTCAGACCCACCCCCAAACCAGGAGAGGGTTTCTCCATTGCCGACGTCAACTTCAAAGTAACGATAATTAAAATGTACCGTGGGGACAAAAGGGTTAACTGGATGAATGACACAGCTAACTCCAAGAGCGTAAAATGGCAGTTCTTTATCTTGTGGTAGATCCTTCCCCCTCGATCTCATCTGTTTGACAGCTGGAGGGGGCAACTTCCCATGGACAACCGACACATTGACTCCTCCTTTCTCAAAGGTATCCCCACGCTGCAGGACACAGGAAACTCCGCCTCCTCCCTGGGACCGCTCCCAACGATCGACACAAAACTTTGCATTTGGTTCCAGTTTCTGTAGCTCCTGACACAGACTATGTTGCACGTCCATACACAGTTTCTCCATTCTTAGTCTCATCGGCTTGTTTTCAATATCTTTGAAAGCCCTGTAGCCTGATACCGGCTCTGCCATGTAGCTATCTTTATCTTTGCTGCTGCCGAAGGAAAACCAAGAGATCATTAACAGACTGCTAGCACCAAGGGGAGGCCCCCACCACCAGTTATGGGTACTGCTCCCGTCCTGTTTATGGCCCTGGTCCTTTCTTTGCTTGATACAAGGGCGGGTAATAGTAGCATTATGAGCAAGAAGGGGTAGGCATCTCGCTTGTTGAGAGAGGGCTCCTCTTTTAGCTGCTAAAAACAGTCTACAAGACATCAGGGTCGACATCAAGCAAGCACGTGGGTGGGGCTAACTAAGCCACACCTACCAACCACGCCTTAGATCTGCTCCAGCTAGCACGTTATGTCCATTCTAGTGCCAAGTAAGTTTGTTTGTTTGTTTGTTTGTTTGTTTGTTTATTATTAATTTTGTTTATTTTTTATTAGGATGTAGATATGAGGGAAAGGAGGAGAGTCTAAAACAGTTGCTTTGTAAAGAAAAAAGGTATTATACTTTCAATAATAATAAGAAGACCTCTCTAATGATATTCATAGCTAGTTTCTCATTTCATTGACAGACTGGTTATTAAATTTATTCATTACCACCAGCTGTGTGTATTCAATGAAAAACCACAGTAACTAATAATGGCAACACGGGGAACTATATGGATCAACCATAATGTAGAGTTAAGCAAATTTAAAAATTTGTAAAAAATCCAATTTTGATCGGAATCTGCTCAAACTTTCTACACAGCATAAGTACATGTATATGCATCAGAAAATGTAATAAAATTGAGGAATTTTCTACTTGTCAATTTTGGTGAAATTTGGCCAAAATCCCTGTACTATAGTACAGGGACTTTTGTCCGATTTTGGAGCAACTTTAAAAAATCATAAAAAATCCAAACTTGATCAAAATCAGCTCAAACTTTCTACACAACATAAGTACATGTATATGCATCAGAAAATGTAATAAAATTGAGGAATTTTCTACTTGTCAATTTTGGTGAAATTTGACCAAAATCCCTGTACTATAGTACAGGGACTTTTGTCCGATTTTGGAGCAACTTTAAAAAATCATAAAAAATCCAAACTTGATCAAAATCAGCTCAAACTTTCTACACAACATAAGTACATGTATATGCATCAGAAAATGTAATAAAATTGAGGAATTCTTTCCTTATCATTTTTGGTGAAATTTGACAAAAATCCCTGTGCCATAGTACAGGGACTTTGACTCAATTTTAGAGCAACTTTAAAGGGCATTACCTTTTCCTGTCTGTATGATAGCACATAAACTGCTCTTTTTGCGCTTATAAATGAGTCATAGCTAAGCCCAGCCTTTTTAGCAAGGACATTGAGCTGTGCCTCCTTCCCCAATGGTAGTCCAGGGAACTGGAACCAGCCAGAATTACTGATAAAATCATTTCTATCTGTGAAGAGAGAGAGAGAGAGAGAAATGAAGTAATTATTAAAAAAGAAACTTACCATCATAAAGTTTATCATGTCCAGCAGCTTTTGGTTTACTAAAAAATACACAAATTAAACAATAAAAATTGTCTTTGCTCCTCCCCCTTGACCACTCCCCTTTCATTACTTGTAAATTTGATCTTCATCTTCATCATCTGACATATAAACCAGTCGTACGTGAGTTATCGGTATCACTCCTTTTACTGACGGATTCTCAACCTTCTGAGCATAATACCAGCACAAGTCCTAACGATAATAATAATAATAATAACTATTAATTAACTGAGTCAATTAATTAGCAAGTTGTGAATATTAATGAGGCTTACGGCCATTGGTTTCATGAGAGTCATTTCTTCGTGGACCCTAAAACTCATATCCTACGGAAAATTATAATAATTTACAATTTACATTTCTAATTGTTATTACTGATTACAGATACATAATGCAAGTATATTGGAGATTTTGGTAAATATAATGTCCATAATTATTATGATCATTCATTCTTACTTGAACTTTCTCCGCACAGAAATTGGCAGTTGCTACGACAAGGGTTCCTGTAGCATACCTCTTGTGTCTCTCTCTCTCGTAAATCCTAATCATTTCCTGTCACATGATGACATTATTATAACTATTAATAACTATTAATGAGCCACGCCTACCCTCTCTTCCTCGGTCATTGATTTCTTAGCCTTTACAGGTATGATAGGAGCAGAAGCCGCTCCCCCTGGTCCCATCTTCTCATAACCTCCTATCTCATAATCTCTTATCTCACCGGGCGCGGCTTGTTTCGGTTTCGGAGGAAGAGCTGGAGGCTCGTCTAAAAATAGAACCATTGTTACTATATTTAGAACCACCCACACACTTTATTACCTTCTATCGGTTTCAGATAGTTCGAAGGTACTGTTCCAATTTTGCCACTTGAGTTCCTTCCAATGTACCAATACATCTCCTGAAATAAATAAAGGATTTAAAATAAAACAACATTAACAGTTAGTGTCCTTACACCACTGGGACTGACTATTGTGATACGTTCATTGACTGAGAAACCTAAATCCTAAAAATAATAATAATAAATAATAATAAATAATAATAATAATTGATGATAATAATAATAATAATATATAATAATTAATAATAATATGGTTGCTTACTCCTGCTTGAGTTGCTTCATAGCTGTCAATAGCAATGCACACTTGTCCAGGCTGGAGAACAATCTAAGAGAGAGAGAGAGAGAGAGGGAGAGAGAGGGAGAGGGAGGGAGAGGGGGGAGGGAGAGAGAGAGAGAGGGGGGAGGGAGAGAGGTGATGCACAAGTATAATAATTGAAACTTGTTGTAATGCAGTTGAGATAAACAATCAATATAAACTAATGACACTTTCACTTTCAATAACTCACAAAGGAACTAATCAACAACAACAACAACAACAACGATAATATCAATAATAGCAAAGATATTAACAAATTATGATAAAGTCAGTTACACTACAGATGAACTTGATTGGTTATCATAATAGTAATGATAACAAAAGTTCAACTCATTCATCAATCCCTATAGTACTGACTGTACTGTACTGACCCCACACTTCATTGAGCTCAATAGCATAAAATAACTATATATAGATAGCACATTTCACACTGATAACGGTCTAGAACAGATACATCTACACGTACATTACCCTATCTAGTGTAATATAATGTGAAAATTTTTATGTGCAAATGCTTTCTCTATTTTTTGTGGTTTAGACAATATCATTACAAATAATTTTGGACTATGTATACCTTAGTTTGGGAAAATAAAACGCCACATCTTCCTCTCTCTCTCTGTCTCCATCTCACCCTTTCCAAAGAGCATGCACAGAAATATCATGGAAAGTAAAATGGCATAATGAATCGTGTGTTTTAAGCCCACTATTCAACTTTGCAGTTAATTGCATCTAATGGCAACAATTTCAGGCGTCTAGGTAACTGAGTTGCCATCGAGATTAAAGTAACCACAAAATTGAATAGTGGATGGTGTTTACCATAATAAACAATGTAAAGTGTTTGTCTCACTTCATTTTCTTCGTCCGCCATTCCTTGAAACTTGAGAGGGCTTTCTTTCTTCCTTTCTTTCTCTGGTTTCGCTTCAGTTCTGGGCAGCTCTGGGCCTGACTGATTAAAAATACCACTGGGATAGGAGTGGCTCATAGCCTAGCCCCTGCCCATAGGCATAGCTACACCCATCATTGCTATCAGCAATTAAAGATGGCTAGAGAGACTGTTCTAGAGGAACTGTTTGAAGCAGCCCCAGAAGCTGTAGGGCTAGCAATGATTATAACAAACGACTACAAGGACAACCCAAAGTATTCAAACCTAGAAGCTACAGAAAGTGATGGAGCTTCAATGGCTGCAGCCTTTACAGAGCTAGGCTACACCATTGTCCATAAACACAACATCACGGGGCTAATCCTGGCAAGTATTTTAAGGAGAACAAGCAATATCCAATACCCAAAGTCTTGCAAAAGGATAGCTTTTGTATTTGCTGGCCATGGACGAAATGAGTCTAAATCTGAGACCACTCTATTAATTATGAATGATGGAGAGAGTATAACAATAGACTTCATTGTTGAGACCCTTTCTCCTCGTGATCCTGGTAATGCAATCGGTAATAAGGTCCGCATGTTCTTCATTGATGCTTGTAGAGGAGATGGCAAAGACGAAGGAAGGCTTGTACCTCGAGGTGGGGATTGTATAGAAAAGCAACGGCTATCAAGCAATGCTGCTAACTACTTGCTTTGCTTTTCAACACTTGCTGGTTTCCAGTCTTACGAAGTAAAAGAAACTGGTGGAGGGTCTCGGGGACTATGGCTGCCACGCATTGCCAGAAATCTGACCACTTGTGATGATTCAATTGGTGACATTCTGGTAAAAGTAAATGAGGAGCTTTCAACTGAGTTTCAAGACAAAGAGAAGTATCCATATATGATGCAACCAGTTTTGACCCAGACACTCAATGAGTCAGTGTTCCTGCTAAGGGAAAAGCCGCAAGGTAAGTCAGCAAATTTTTACTACTGATCTTTACTGCAATTACTATTAGCAGGACTAAGTGTAAAGCACACAGCTAAAACAACAAGTAGTGATAAAGATCAAAGATCAAATTTGTATCACCGTGCTACATCCTTGCCCACCAAACCTAGTGCTGGTCAGGCATCCAGGCCTGAATTAGCAGCTGCTTTCTCACAACAAACACACGGAGCTCAAATCCACACTTCAGAACAGTCTCTACCTCCTGTATTTGCTCAGTCAACATCACTGCCTGGTGGAAATTTATGCGTAACTCCGCCAAGTCGCCAAAAGTGTCAAGTGGAAGCTAGGGAAGGAGCAACGAGCTTGCCATCAAGAATAGGTAAATTTAACTGTTGAAATAATTTTTCCTTCATTATACATATTTTAATTATTTTTAGAATTAGTACAACGAAAAGCACCACTCCCCGATGACAGTGGTTATTACAAAAAACAGCTTAATGAGTTGATGCAGAAGAAGATCATTAGTGATTCTTACACTAAAAGTTGGAAGGTAGTTCCCGACCCCAAGATTCAAGGTAAATTTAAAGCCACAGTTGAGTGTGTGCTGCTAGTTGGTGACAATAGCACTGTCTCTGGAGATAGCAAGGAATATTATGATAAAAAGAATCTTGCTAAAGAAGCAGCAGCTGAAGATGCTGTTAGAAAAATAGAGAAAATATTACCTAGAGCAGCTTCAGCAAGCATAAGTTCACCGCCACCAATAGCCATAGTTAGAAGTGATATACCAGTACTTATGAACAAGCAGAATCTTAACAATCATTTTCAAGGGGAGCTACGGGATAGTCTACCAATCTATGATACAGTGCCAGTTGACAGTGGATTTCAATGCAGTATAACCCACAAACGGTTTGGCATCAAAGCAATTACTGGTGACGTGTGCTCTTCAAAGAGAGAAGCAGAAGACAGTGCTGCATCTAAAGCATTGAAACACTGTTAAAATATTAGAATTACAATAATATGTATGTCATGTAATTATAATCAACTTATTATTATTATTATCATTGTAGTATAAATATTAAAAACTTCTATGCATGTAGTAATGAAGACATGCATGTCTTAAACAGAATGTCTACTAATAATAGCAGCATACTATGCATGTAGATAATAAACATGTCAGCACATTGTGACAGTTTTCTGTCTCTAGTGGTAATTATAACATGAATCTCATTGACTAACTTTCCCTTTGTAATCTGACACTAACCTACAACCTGCTGATAAAGCATTGCATTCCAGGTATAATCACTGAAGCAGACACTATTCATTGAGGAGTTCCTTTGTAAAGAAAGATGGCTGAAGCTGCTGTAGGTTTGTCTCCTAAAGATGAAGTGGAGAGATTAGTATCATCTAAACCTGATGCTCTAGGCATTGCTCTTATTATAGCTAATGACTATCAGAACCAACCAAATAACCTTCGGTATATTGCTGGCCCACACAAAGATGCTACCAAAGCTGTGTCAGTGTTTGAATCACTAGGCACTGTAGTTTATAAAGTCCTCAATGCGACTGCCGAGGAAATGAGAAGATCCTGTCAGGCTGTAGCTCAGTTTCATTATAATCGAAAGTTTCAGTGGATTGTCGTCGTGTTTTCTGGTCATGGAAAGGCTGATGGAGTGATCTTGGGACAAGATGGAAACCCTATTGGTGTTCAACTTATCGTCAGTCTCTTTCAGCCGGAGTGCTCAGTACAAAACGCTTGCATTCCTAAAATATTTTTATTTGACATGTGTCGTGGGGAGGAAATCTTAGGAAGTGTTTTAGTGCCAAGAGGTGGTTCTATAATTAAACCTGAGGTATTACCTAAAATAGGTAACATGTTAATTGCCTTTTCGACTCTCTCCAACACAAGAGCATTTGAATCAGAAGAAGGTGGAGTTTGGCTTTCTCGTGTTCTTAAACATATAGGCCAAGATGAAAACTCAATTTGTGACATACTAAATGACGTTAACAAAGAAGTGAATGAGGCTTATCAAGATCCGAATTATAAAGACGCAGGTACTGGTAAACAGGCGGTGCAGCAACCAGAACAAATAAGTACACTTCATGGCAACGTGTACTTCCTGAAAGAAGCTAAAAGTAGATTCTTCAACCAGGAAGAAGAGATGATGGAAACTCAGGATCAACTACAAGAAATGAGTTTAGAAGGTACATGAATATAAGAATTGATATTGTTTTATTTATTATTTTTAAAATAGCAGCAGCTAAAATGGGAAATGGTCCAACCACAGTTTCAAGAAACTCTGGAAATTCAAGACTAAACAAATCGCTATCAGGTAAATTGCAGCTGTAATATATCTCATTATTATTATTATTATTATTATATTCAGATCAAGGAGCATCTATCCAACCATTGTCTAGGTCACAAGCTGAAAGGTCCCAGTCTGTACCACAAGATTCATCACCTACTTCTCTTCAACCTACTGCCATTCTAAACTCCAAGGACCCTCCTGCCGTACAACTGAAAAATTTACTCGTTGATAGAAAAAAATTAAAGCATCCAAATTACGTTGAGGAAGAAGACCCCAAAAAATCTAAGAAAAAGTTTCGATGTGAAATTTATCATAGTGCTTTTGCTGAAAATCCAATTGTTGGAGATTTTTTCCGCGATAAAAGTAGTGCTAAACAAGATGCTGCTAAAAAGGCCATGCTCTTGCACCAGGAAAATAAACTACTTAAATGATAATCTCTACACTTGTACTTACTATTTAGCTTGTCACTAGTTTTTATTCATAGTATTTATAATATTAGTATAAAAATAAATTATTTAAAAAACTTATGTAGTAATAAAGATATACATGTCTTAAGCAGAATGTCTACTACTAATATCAGCAGCATGGACAGTTAATTATGAAAGCCACTCATCTCCACTGGTCTTGGTTCCTTTGGTTTCTTTGGCCCTCTCTTATAAATGCAGACAGCGATAATAATAAACACTACTATCACTATTATTATGAGCAATAGGACTGCACCACCAGTAGCAACACTAGCAATGAAACGGACATCAAGACTTTGAGAACCATCTGGCGTTGAAGAAGGAGTGTTAGTACTTCTTGTTGAGCTGCTGGTTGATCCTACTGTACTAGTACTGGTTGTCATAATGAAAGAACTGGTAGTGGAAGTAGCTGCACTAGAAGCTATAAAAGGATAAATATAAAATAAAGGTATGGTATATTGCTTACTTATTACAGTACTTGTAGGAGCTGGCCTAGAACATTGAATATATATGTTTCTAGTGCCATTAATGCAGAATTGATCTGCACTAGGAGTCACTGTACAACTCCCTGTATTAACTGCATTTGGTGGACATGTTAAGTTACTGTAGTACATAGAGGGCTGTGGCAGTGTAGCATACAGAGACATATTAGGGGAAAGAAGAACAATACCACCTATAATAAGAATGATGATTATTTAGAGTAGCTTATATACAACAACTAACTATTGAATCCTTTTGAAGTACATACAAGATTAGCATCATCATTTCCAAAGCTGTCATCTTCATCACACAATGACACAAACTCTCCATTCCAACACCATACAGCAACACCTGACACTAACTCCTGTCCATTGGATACTGCAGTAACATTACTGTACAGACTGACTCCTGGAACATTGCAACTTTGAGCATCTGCTGAATAAACTAAAGATTGAAAGTGAGATTAAAGTGTATGTCTACCATCATTGGGTGGGGCTCATGCAAGCATAGCTATACCAGTAAGCAATAGTACCGTTAACATAATGTGAATTGATTTCTAATTCTACAGAGAAACAACTTACTAGCGAAAGAGCTCAATATTAATATAATTCCTAGTCTTATTACTTGGCTTGTTTTGTTCATCCTCTTTTGTTTTGAATGGGTGTGGCTACTCACCAAAAAAGGGCCCGGCTGCACCAGTAGAGGTGATGGCCCCAAGTTCATTATGAATATCATTAAAATGACACCCGATTCATCCTCAGCATCTCAGCTCGTGTTTCTAATTGACTCTCACAATAATGTTAATACCAAATTAGTGCATGCATTGTTAAAGTAAAGGTATACATGAGATTGGAATGGAGCTGCATGAACTGCAATAAAAAGGTCATGTATCTAGTAAGTCATGTAGCATAGCATTTATTAAAGTGTATAGTTTGTTTAAAATTAAAATGAAAAGGAGCCAGATCTACGCTTCCTAATAACAATGAATACCACTATAATGACAGCTGCTACTATCAAACCGACGACAACCAAAACTGCAATTGTAACCCCAACAGCTAGTCCGACTTTAGAGGAAGAGGATTCGGTTGGAGTGCTTGAAGGAGTGACACTGGCTCCTCCTGTTGTAGTAACAACACGTGTTGCACTTGTAGTGATGCTTTGGGTTGCAGTAGCTGTAGAAGTAGGAGCGCTAGTGGCAGTTGTTGATGGAGCTGTTTTAAAAAATGATTTATTCTTTAAATATTAGGATTAATAATGAGTCCTTACTTGTGGGTGTTCCAAGGTAACACTCAATCACTAGTTCCCTCAGTCCTCCAATACACTGAGTGTTGTTTGTCATTGTTGCAGTACATGAGCTAGTATCAGTTGCATTTGATGGACAAGAGAAGTTGCCGTAATATCCAACACCTTGTGGTCCTGGGCCGTATCTAGATGGATTGGGAGGACGAATAGATCCACCTATAAATAAAACAATAATAAAATAATGATATTTTATTTACACTTACCATCGAATCCCATCGAAGTACATACTAGATCGATATCATCAGAATCATAGTCATCATCATTTTCATTACACAATGGGACCAAATGTCCATTAATACACATCACAGCAATCCCAGATAACAGCTGCTGTCCAAAGTTATTACTGCTGAAATTAGTGAAGAAGGTAACACCAGGCATATTGCAGTTTTGAGCTGAAGTAGATAGTATATAGCAACACATTATTATGAAAGGAGTCACTTACTGTCATTGTAACATTTTACAAAGTACTCAAGTGATCCACCAAAACAACGTGAATCAGTAGCAAAGTTGGCATAGTCACCACAACTGTTGATGTCACTGGTGGGACAAGAGAAGTTAGACAAATAGACAACACCAGGAGGAGTGCCATTATAAACACTGGCATTGTAAGAAAGCAACTGCCCATCTATAAATACAGTTTAGTTTATAATGATTCATATTGTACAGGGACTTACATTGATAGTTCAATGCTTCACAGGCAAAGTTGATGATTCTTGGAGAGTTAGTTCCATCATTGCATACTCTTGTAGGAGCACCATTAGCACAGAACTGTGGAATACCAGCAATGTAGCTGCTACCACCTTCGACTCCAGAGTACTGATTGAACAGGAATACATCACTATGACCATCATCATCATCAATACACACTAGAAGAAGGAAAGGATCAAAGTGACTGGATCTTTGTATGTTCTTATACCTCTCTGACATGTAACAGTTGCATATCCATTAGAACCGCAGTCTCCATACATTGTGGTGTTAGTGCAGTTTTCTAAATCTGTACAGTCAAACCCAGTCACTACTCTACCAAGATCTCTCGTTAAGTTAAGAGGAGGAGCCATAACACCTGCTGGTCTACCTACAAACCCACCTGAATGCCAAAAAATAAAAATAAAAATGATACAATTTATTCTTACTTGATATTCCTAAACTATAAAGGCATATCCTTGAGACATCAATAGGACTCAAAGGGACACCACTGCATACAGGAAGAAAGCTTCCATCTACACAAATGGTTGGACGACCAGTCAGTGTAAAGAGACCAGGGCCATTTGATACATTGACGTAATTGTTAAGATCAGTTTCACCATAATAACATTCAGGGGAAACTATTTCATAAAAACAATAATTATAATATATATTTGCAACTTAAAAATGAACTCACTAAAACTACACTGTATACTAAGCAGTCCCCCACTAGCTGTACAGTTGCTCATTTGACTCCCAGTACAAGAAGAGTAGCCATTGGAGCAGGAAACATTTGTATAACTGTAGTCAAACACCTTTGGGGGGAAATCATTAAAACTATCAGGGTAACCAATAGAACCGTTTGGTGACACGAAACCTATTAGGAGAATGAAAAGGAGATTTAAAATTTAATAAATTAAATTACCTGGTAAGCCATAAACATCATCAACTATTGCTTGACAGTAGCTACCAGCAGTTTCATTAGAAACTCCAGCTGCACACACATCACCTATCTGACCATTAACGGTGACACCAATCACAAAATAGTAAGTAGTAACAAGATCCTGCATGTCACTTCCAGTGAAGTTGTAGAAAAGGTTATTATTAATTGGTCCATCACAGTAAACTTGAGCTATGGAGAATAAGAAATAACTCAAATGAAACAATAGGAAATCACTCACAGCTAAAAGCCAAAAAAACAGCTACAATACTTAAAAGTCCTTTCATGATTGCTTCAGTTGATGTGCCCTCTACTTGCAGTACAAAAGTGGGCCTGCCTCTACCTTGAACTGTAACTGAGTCACTCCACACTGTGATTATAATTATCATTATCTTCTTATATTGCAGAGCACTGCACTACATGCTAAGCACATGCTCTCATTTCACACTGAATATGTGCATGAGTAAAGTTAACATACGTTGTAATTATTACATGCTGTTCAACATGTGTAAAATTAAAGTCAACAACTTGTAGTGTCATTCATTGTATATTAAATAGACTAGCAATAAAAAACAACTAATTATTATAATAACTAACTAATACATTCACACCAAAATAGATATAAGGTGAAGACATTTAGACTTAAAAGTTAATGGACCCAGATCTTGACTTCCTAACTATCACAACAGCAAGCACAATAATGATAAGAACAACAATTGCAACTACAACCAGAACAGCAACTGTTACTCCAATAGCTAGCCCAACATTAGAATCAGTAGAGGTTGTGGGGGCTGATGAACTGGTAGGAGAGACTGTAACTGTACCCACTGATAGTTGATGCAATGATAGAAGAGGAGAGAGTATCAGAAACAGTAATGGTAGGTGGTTGAAGAGTAGTTGAAGAAGCTAAATATATGAAACATAAGAATACATTAATTGTCACTAACCACTTGGTGCAGGCCTCATGCATTGAAGTATGATGTTCAAATCTCCAGTGAAGCATTCAGGATCATCACTGGGGACAGCAGTACAGGATCCATCACTCATACAAGTAACATTACTGTAATACCCTGATGTAAGAGGAGGAGCACCATACAATGAATCAGAAGGACGCACAGTACCACCTATAATAATAATAATAATAATAAAGTTAATATTAGTCTATTTATTATTGTTTTACTAGTATTCCCATTGCTTGACAGACATTGGCAGCATCATCAGTATCAAAGTCTTCAGTATCTCCACAAAGAGCAGTATACTGGCCATTAGTGCATATAACAGCAACCCCAGTTGTAATCTCAGTGTCTCCATTAATCACTGAACTGATTCTAGTATAAAAGGTTACATTGCCTTCAGTGCTACATGAAAGACCTATGGACAACTATAATATTAAATATGAATAAAGAATTAGTTTGATATACTGTTGTTGTAGCATTCCACAGTGACATCCTTTTGTCCATTGTTGTAGCATTGCTCATTGAATGCGAAGGAGATGTTTTGAGCACAACCAAATTCATTGCAAGTGTAATTACTGAAGTATAGTATCCCACGAGGTGATCCATTGTAAAGACTAGCATTGTAAGGCAGCATCCTACCAGCTGTAGGAATTTAAAATTGATAATCGTAAATTACATGACATAAAATTGTGAGATAGAGATGATTGCATAATTATTTTTATGATTTTCAATTTTTAGAAAGTATGAACCAATTTTTACTTCAATTTTTTAAGTTACGGCCATTTTAAGAAAATGCCAAAATTCTGAAAAATCTCTGTACTAGATCTATTATATCCCATGAATTTTTCTAAAAATTGGCTCCAAAATTATCCCAATTTTTAATTACTTTTCTGATACACATTGACACCCTAATACTGTGTAGCAAGTTTGAGGTGATTCTGACTTCAATTTTTTGAGTTATGGCTGTTTAAAAATGGGCCAAAAACTACAATTGTCATTTTCATGAATTCATTAAAACATAGCTTTTAACATAAACCATTACCTTGATAGCCATACTGTATGCAGCCAATTGTTGCAAGATCTTGTACATTTGTTCCATCGTCGCAGATTCTAGCAAAAGTCCCTCCCAAACAGAACTGAAATATTCCAGCAAAATACGTCACTCCATCACGAGTTGTAGTGTAATTATTGTATAACATTGGTTGATATGTTTCATCATTACAAACTAAAAAAGAAGATGAATTTTTAAGATCAAAATACTTTTAACCATACCTTGCTGACAAGTGATGGTAGCATAGTCATCATTAGGACATTTCCCCATCATTGTCACATTAGTGCAGTTCAATAATGTAGTACAGGACAGATCAGTTACTACAACATCAATTTCTCTAAAGAAATCAATAGGTAGGGCTGTAACTCCATCAGGGGCTCCAACAAATCCACCTATTATAAAAAAATATTTTAAAATCTTATAAATTTGTTACTTCTTACCAAAAAATGCAAAAGGATTCTCGATATTTCTTAAACAAAGCTCTGACACGTCCCGTGGTGAGAGACTAGCTCCACTGCAGACTGGGGCATATCTTGCATCATTAGTACATATTGCAGGGTATCCTGTCTCATAGAATGCTCCATCAGGAGTTGTACTATTGACAACGTTATTAAGAATAGTGAGCCCAGGAAAGCATTCAGGAAATCCTATATGGTTTAGATTAGTAAAACAATACCTACATATCAGTTTACTTTACAACTAGCCAACTAGAAGTATCATTTTATATTCCAATATACTTACTGATATTACAGCGTATGGTCAAGAATCCACCATAGCCAGTACAATTGCTGACTTGCATTCCAGTGCAAGCTGTAATGTCACTGGGGCAGGCAAAATTAGCATAAGATGTGCTAAAGAGCTCGCCATTGATAAAATTGTAAGGAGGAGTAGCTACAGCACCAGTGACTCGAAGAAAACCTATATATATAGAATTAAAGAGAGAAACATGTGAAGTGATCAACCACATTGACAGTTTAATGAACTCACCACTTCCTTCATCAATAAGCTCTTGCCTGCAGAGCTCGTTAGCTACTTGATCAGTGACTCCACTACTGCTACAAACATCCCCAATGTTTCCATTAAGGATTGCACTAACTCGATAATACAAGTGTATCTCGCCTAAAGTCTCATTTCCTGAGATTGAGGTGACATTGAGGACAAAGGGGAAGGACTGAGAGCTGACAGCAGTCACTGTAGCTATAATAAAAGTATCATGGCTAAGGTATAAACCCACTTACCACTCAGAGCTAGTAAAAGAGACACAATCTTACATGTAGACATTTTTTGCTGCAAAGCTAGCTAAGAAAGAATGCAAGGGCGTGGCTCAGTTAGCTTCTAGCATTGGTTACCAAAACAAAACAAACATGACTATAAAACAATAGAAATTCAACTAATGCAACGATAATACTAACAATAATAATAATAATAACAATAATAATAGTAATAACAATAGAATAGTAATAATATATAAACGGAAGAGAATAAGAGACACTGTCCTAATCTAAGATTTAGCTGGCTTTATGGAAATTGGTATGACAGCACTTTTACGTTTATTCTTATACACTAGCACACCAACAACTGCCACTACAACTGCAACTGCAGCAACAACTACTACTGCTGCTACAGACACTCCAGCAATAAGACCAACATTAGTACCACTAGTGGGTGGGTCAGTTCCTCCAGGAGTTGAGCTAGAGCTAGGAGAAGGACTAGCACTAGAACTAGCACTACCAGTGGAAGATGTAGGAAGATAATCTGAAATCAAAGCACAAAAATTAGAATAAGTAAAGATTTTATGAGCACTAAAACTTACTAAAGCATTCCAAGACCAATACTTCAGTGCAGTCTGGTAGAAATGGTTGACTATTACTATCTTGAGTACAATTCATGAGTGTGGTGGCTTCTGGTTGACATGTGATGTTCCCCACAAATGTTATATTTTCAGGAGGAGCTCCATGAACTGAGCTGTTGTATAGGACTGTATCACCATCTGAAAAGAGTATGAAAGAGAGCCGAAAGGAATAGTCTAAAACTTACCCTCAAATCCAAATGTAATACAAAGGGCATCAACATCATTGTCACTGTTATCCTGACACAATGCAGTGCAATGAACAGTCTGCATTGGATCAGAGTCACAGCTCACAAATATACCAGTTACAGTCTCCTTCCCATCTCTTACACTACTGGTATTACCATACAGATATGGGCCAGTTCTTTGACCAGTAACACCTAATAATAATAAACACAAATATTAATAAATCTATGCATGCAATATTAACACAAAGACTTACATGATATTATTGCCAACACGATAAGAGCTTGTGCTACATTTGAAGTTTCCATGTTTTGTTTAAGGTGGAGCTGGTCCACTGCATGTGTGGGCTATTATTATAAATATCATCAAGAATAGATTCTGCTCTTGAATATCATTAGCATGTCGTGGTAACACAACACACCTTAGCAACAGTTAATCTCAAATACCATTTGTAATTATGAATATTATTATAACAAGAGGAATTTGCAAACAAATTAATTATTACAGCATATCAAAGTTTTGTTAGTGCATATACTTTGTATTGTATTTCTAGATGGGGTGGGATTTCTTTTCAGATATAGGTACGACTGGACTTTTATGCTTCTTCATATACATGGTAACTGTTATAGCAACAACAACAATAGCTATTACAATAGCAACAGCAACCACTCCAGCTACTGATCCACCAACAATAGCTCCAATATTAGTATCAGAATCACCTCCTGAAGTAGGAGTAGTAGGAGTGGAAGTAGTAGGTGATGAACTACTGGTAGTACTAGTTAATGAACTAGTTACTATACTACTACTTGTGGCAATATCTCCTATAAAGGAACATTAATATACTGTAGATGAACATAAGAGAACATACTGTAGCATTGAAGGACTAGTATATTATCACATTCTGTTGAGTTCAAATGAGTTGCACTGCAATCACTCAGACTGGTGGCATTGGATGGGCAATCAAGATCAGTGAAATAAGCGCTATTCAATGGAAGGGCACCTTGGGCTGTTGAATTATACGACACCACTGCTCCACCTAAACAAGTGATTAAAAGAGATTGAAATATGATAGAACTTGCCTTCGTAACCAAGAATATCAGAACTGCAAAGATTACTTAAATCAGTCCCATTAGTTTGACAGATAGCCTGATAATATCCAGACTCACAGTTGACAAATACACCACTAGTGTATTCCCTTCCATTACTTATTCTAGTGATATTATTGTACAAATAACCACCAGTCACTAGACAACCTATTGAGAATAACAAATTGCATTATATCAATGAGTAATTTAATTTATACCTCGAGATCTTGTACAGCGTAGCACCATTTGTCTATTAATATCATCACACAGTGTATAATTGCACTCAGAGCCCTCTACACTAGTGCAGTTTATATCTATTGCTGATATACCAGGAGGTAAATCTTGATAAAATCTATTTTCGAAAGGAACTATTACTCCAACTAAAAATCAAACTATTATGATGAAGCACAGGCGCATCATTCTCACATGAGTATCCTAATGATATACAAATGCCATTTGCTATATCTACCAAACTAGGATAGCCCCATTGTGATGGATAAGTACAATATCTGACATAAGAACCACCAGTACATGACTGATAGATACCAGTAGTTACAACAGAACCATCAGCAGATACATTAGTTTCATTATTAAATAGGATACTCCCATTGACATAAGCATTTGGATCACAGGCTGAACTGCTAGGAATTCCTAAAAATACCAACACATTCATCACACTAAACTGTTATGTTATTGTGTAATAAAATAACTAAAAGTTGTCAACTGTCAATAATGTACTGTATGTATACAAACTGTTACTGTCGGGAGTTACTGCATTACCTTCCTCACAAGTAACAATGGCATAACCATTGGTACCACAGTTCATTCCTGTAGTCACTGCACAATTAGCCATTATATCACAATCATAGCCAGTCACTGATAATGGAGCAGATGGCATAAAAGGACTTAATCCAACATTGTGTGGATTGCCTATCAAACCAGTACTGGAATTAATAGCTAGAGAAACAAAGAAAAGGCAAAAGACATGTGATGCAATTTGATAGTATGTATCATCTTACGTTGATAAGCACATATAAGTATCAGTTCAATGGCCCCAAGTTCAGTTCCATTACAAATTGGAGCAAAGTTACCATTGACACAAACTTCAGGATAACCAACCAAAGCTACTCCAGAACCAGTTGATACATTGACACTGTTAGTCAGCTGAACTAATTGTCCTGGGAAACAATCTAGAAAGGAGCACATTAAACCATTAATAATCATTATAAACAGAAGGATACCTGAGAAACTGCATACAATGAGCAGTGGTGTGGAGCAGTTAGGAACAATTGAAGCAGCTTCACCACATGAAGAAAAACCAGATGGACAGCTGAAATTAACAAATGAAACATTTAACATTGATGGATCAATATAACTATCATTATCAAATCCACCTAAAGGATTAGTGTCTTGATTATTGTGTAGATATTATTATAAGTTACCAAGATTATTGCAGAGGAAGTCAGTGATATCGGTATCTCCTTCATCACACACTATACCATAATCACCATCTTTGAAAAGCCCAACTCCCGCAATAAAGCTGTCATTTGAAAAAGAGACAGGATACAATAAAGTCATTGAGTGAGAGAACCTGGGAACTATAGAGAGTAAGAGAGTACCAGTGTACATATAAATGAAGACTTACAAGTGCTGATAGCAACTGCAGCAACAACCAGAACCAGCTTAAGGAACTCCATCTTCTTTAACTGTGTGCTTCAAATTTGGGGTGGGGCACATCTGTACCTTAGTGTTTTGCTGCTTATGAATTTATTTGGAGTCACAGGATATTGTAACATAAATAACTACAAAAAAATGAAAGCTAGAGTTTAGTTAATGAAAGCAGTACTGTAATGTTACTGGTTTAAGCATAAAAATATTTTAAAATTTGCTAATTTTTATAAACTATCTAGACAAAATGAGTTTTTTCAGACTTTTCAGATATAGGTACAACAGGACTTTTATGCTTCTTGACATACATAATAACTGCAATTTCAGCAATGGTAACAATAGCTACTACAATGATAACAGCAACCACTCCAGCTACTGATCCACCAACAACAGCTCCAATATTAGTATCAGAATCACCTCCTGAAGTAGGAGTAGTAGGAGTGGAAGTAGATGTTACAAGCACAGAAGAGATTATGTAAAATAAGAAATACAAAAACTAATAGCTACACTACAACAATGAAAGGATATTAAGTATGCAATCTATACAGCTAGCTACAGTTTAGTCAATTATGCTGTCATTTTAAAGACATTATGACAGCAACAGTACAGCCAGTATCAGAGCTACCAATACACTAACAGTAACTCCATTAGCAAGAACTGTAGTAGAGCCAGAAGGAGTTGGTGTGGTAGTAGCTGAAGGAGTGGCTGAAGGAGTGACAATGGGAGCAGCTATAAAATAATATGAATCAATTAACTTTATATTTATATTTATATGCATAGACATGTACCTCTGGAGCATTGCAATACTAGGTCCATTGTACCAGCTAAACACTGTTGGTTAGTTGATGATAAAGCATCACAATCATCAACAGTATTAGCATTAGGAGGACAAGAGAAAGAGGAATAATAGGCTGTACCTACTGGAGCAGTGCCATACACTGAAGAATCATGAGAAAGAATAACACTAGCTAATGATAAAGATAAGTATAGAATACTGTAAAAGTAATTTCATATACTTACTGTTATCAAATCCCATTGATTGGCATAAGTAATTCAAACCTGCTTGGGTGTGAGATCCATCATTACAGAGAGAAGCATAAAATGCTCCATCAATACAGTTAAGCGGTATACCAGATACTATCTCACGTCCATTGACTATTCTTGTCATGTTATTATGGAGATACAGTTTAGACCCATTACAAGGTGCTGTAAATGGGACAAAGATTGTAATTTAAATGTTAAAGCATTACAGTAAAAATAATATTATTGATTTACTTCCAGGAGAGCATCTTAAAATAGTTTCCAACTGTCCAGTGTAACACTGTGGATTAGTGGCAAATGATGGGTTCTCATCACAATTCTCATCACCGGAACACGTAAAGTTACTCAAATAGATTATCCCCTGGGGGACCCACTGTACAGGGTCTGGGCAAGATTTGAATTTGAAGGAAGGAGATCACCAACTAAATAAAAGTAAAATAAAATGACTGGAGGGGTTGATGTTAGCTTACATGCAAATCCAGCTCCTCTGCAGAAGATTGACCCATACCCATGATAATTAGTGCCATCATTGCATACCCTGGCATATGTTCCCCCAGCACAGAACTGTGGTATCCCAATGTAATAGTTAATGCCATCAACCACAGTTGTTTGATTGTTGAATAGAGTAGAGTTATCAGAATCAGCACACACTGAAAAGAAATGAGAGAGTACTATTGCAAGTGGTGAATAATCATGTATACCTTTCTGACATGTAACAGTTGCATATCCATTAGGACAAGAACCCATCACACTGTTAGCAGAGCAATTGAGATAGCTACCAGGACAACTGAACTGGTTAGATACAGTGCTATTATAACGTAAAGTAGGAGGAGGAACAGTAACACCAGAAGGAGCTCCATTAAACCCACCTGAAGAGGACTAAACACTATTAGTGAATGTACATCAACTAACCATTCAGTACTCCTGTTGTTGTAAATCCACAAATAGCTACTCTCTCAATTGGCCCAATGTTCACACTGCTGCATATTGGAGTGAAGTTACCATTATTGCAGGTAACAGGATGACCAGTTAGGTAATAGCCACCAGGAATGGTTGTATTAGCCGGATTACTTAGGATCACTTGTGATGAATCATAACATTCTGGTAGAGCTTTAAAAAGAGACACACCAGTTCATAAGAATAAAATTAAGTGTATTATTGCTTACGTATGATGCATTTGACTGCTAAGAGTCCTCCATCAGAATTACAATTAGCTTTTAGATTCCCAGTACATGCATCAATACCTGCTGAACAATCAATATCACCAAAAGCAATAGAATTCATCATGTAAGTAGTATACTCAGTGGTTACAGTTCCTGTGGCTTGTATAGCAGCTATAGGATAGTAAGAATGCAATATAAATATAAACTACAAGTTATAATACTATGAGCTTACGAAATATACTGCTGATAGCACCATAAGTCTCATGATAGAATTCCTGGCACAGTAGGTTAGCAAGAGAGTTGTCAATTCCATTAGCACAGACATCACCAGTAGTTGAGCTATAGGTAGCTTCTAATTGAAGTCCAAAAGTAGCTGTGATATTATCCGTTTCATAATGAATATAACTGAACTGGAAATTCTGAGAATTAGCAAAGCCTGAATGAGAGTAAAAGAATTGAATAACTGACACACTATAGCTATAGGATATCATTACCAGTCAATAGTAATAGAACCAGTAATGAGAGAAAGTCACTGTACTTCATTCTTACACCTTTTAAGACACACAATAGCTCCAAATGCTAAAAGAAATGCTTAAAGTTCAAATAACTGCACCCACTGCATGACACTGGAACTAAACTCACAACTTATTAATGTGTGATCATCATCTGCAAACATCCTCCTTGATTAGTCTTGCGTGGCCAGACTCAACCCTTTTTGTCATTTGGGTAGGCGGGATGGAGAGTCTGGCTATGCGAGACTACTCCTTGATATTATTAATGAATAATTATGATTATTAACGATTCATGTGCATGCATTGGACATGCAGAGTGCCCAATAGCAAACTATTCATTCAACAGTTATTATACTTATAATACTACACCATGTGTCTGAGATATGCCTGCATGTGAATAAGACACTATAGCTGGAATATCATTACCAGTCAATAGTAATAGAGCCAGTATTGATGATAGAGAGTCACTGTACTTCATTCCCACTTGAGGCAACAAGATCAAAGTAAACAAAGTTTTAACTGTTATCGTTGAAAGTTGTAAACTGTCAGAAGGTGCCGCACACAAACTGTTTACTGCCGGGAGTTACTGCCTTTAGTGCCTTCCCTTCCTCACAAGTGACAATGAGATAATCACTGGTACAGCTCATTCCTGTAGTCACTGCACAACTATAAGTCATGTGGTTATTGAGTGAGAAAATGCAGAGCTATAGAAGAAGAGAGAGAAAGAGAGAGAGAGTATCAGTGACATATACATGAAGACTTACAAGCGATGATAGTCACTGGAGTAGCAACCAGAACCAGTTTAACATCTGGGTCAGTAAAGGCAGCTTATATAGTGTTGTAGATCTATGGCATCTCATAAATAGTCAACATGATAGCATAAATGTATAATCATGTAAAAAAAAGAAATACTGTACAAAAAACTAATAGCTACACTACAATAATGAAAGGATATTAAGTATACGATATATACAGCTAGCTACAGTTTAGTCAATTATGCTGTCATTTTAAAGACATTATGACAGCAACAGTACAGCCAGTATCAGAGCTACCAATACACTAACAGTAACTCCATTAGCAAGAACTGAAGCAGAGCCAGAAGGAGTTGGTCTGCTAGTTACTGAAGGAGTAACAGTGGAAGCAGCTATAAAATAATACGACTCAATTAACTATATATATATATATTTATATGCATAGACATGTACCTCTGGAGCATTGCAATACTAGGTCCATTGTACCAGCTAAACACTGTTGGTTAGTTGATGATAAAGCATCACAATCATCAACAGTATTAGCATTAGGAGGACAAGAGAAAGAGGAATAATAGGCTGTACCTACTGGAGCAGTGCCATACACTGAAGAATCATGAGAAAGAATAACACTAGCTAATGATAAAGATAAGTATCAAATACTGTAATGTTGTAATTCCATATACTTACTGTTGTAAAATCCCATTGATTGGCAAAATAAATTTAAAACTGCTGGGGTTTGAGATCCATCATTACGAAGTGAAGCATAGAATGCTCCATCAACACAGTAAATTGGTATACCAGATACTATCTCATGTCCATTGACTATTCTTGTGATGTTATTATGGAGATACAGTTTAGACCCATTACAAGGTACTATGTAAATGAAAAAATATTGTAATAGTAAAAATAATATTATTGATCTTACTTCCAGGAGAGCATCTTAAAATAGTTTCCAACTGTCCAGTGTAACACTGTGGATTACTGGAAAATGATGGGTTATTATCACAATTTTCATCAGCGCCGGAACACGTAAAGTTACTGAAATAGATTATCCCTTGGGGGGACCCACTGTACAGGGTTTGGGCAACACTTGAATTTGAAGGAAGGAGGTTACCAACTAAATAGAAATAAATGACTGGAGGGGTTGATGTTAGCTTACATGCAAATCCAGCTCCTCTGCAGAAGATTGATCCATAAGGATAATTAGTGCCATCATTACATACCCTGGCATATGTTCCCCCCACACAGAACTGTGGTATCCCAATGTAATAGTTAATATCATTAAGTTCAACCATAGTTGTTTGATTGCTGAATAGAGTAAAATTATCAGAATCAGCACACACTAACAAGCGTAACAGGGTAAAAAATATTCCTATAATTGATTTCACCACCTTGCAAGTACAATTTGGTCATTACTAAGACTTATAGAGGTTCTCTCTACCTTATAATGCTTCTAGAGAAGTCTTTAGACAGTATCTCTATGCTCTCTTGCTGTTAGAAAGCTCTTAGCTTTGTCCCATGTGTAAGCCGCCATTTTGTTTGCCGTGACCACACCCACTCACGTAAACGAGCGTGGGTGGGTGGTTGCTAAGGCTTGTTATTTCTCCAATACAACGTGTATAGAAGAAATGTAAGTGTGGACATACAAATAAATAAATATATATATATATATACATAGCGCGAGGGTGAATTCAATTATAGGAACGACCTGGGGGCTTCGCCCCCAGGTCGTTAAAAAGAAATGAGAGAGTACTATTGCAAGTGGTGAATGATCATGTATACCTTTCTGACATGTAACAGTAGCATATCCATTAGGACTGCAGTCTCCATACATTGTGGTGTTAGTACAGTTTTCTAATCCTGTACAGTCAAACCCAGTCACTACTTTACCAAGATCTCTTGTTAGATTGAGAGGAGGAACCGTAACGCTTGCTGGTGCTCCTACAAACCCACCTGAACACCAAAAAATAAAAATAAAAATGATACAATTTATTCTTACTTGATATTCCTAAACTATAAAGGCATATCCTTGAGACATCAATAGGACTTAATGGGACATTACTGCATACTGGAAGAAAGCTTCCATCCACACAAATGGTTGGACGACCAGTCACTGTAAAGAGATCAGGACCATTTGATACATTGAAGTAATTGTTTAGACCAGTTTGACCAGGATAACATTCAGGGGTAACTATTGCATAAAAACAATATTTATAATATATATTTGCAACTTTAAATTAAACTTACTATAACTACACTGTATACTAAGCAGTCCCCCACTAGCTGTACAGTTGCTCATTTGACTCCCAGTACAAGAAGAGTAGCCATTGAAGCAAGAAACATTAGTGTAACTGTAGTTATAATTCTCTAAAAAATACTCAAAAAGAACAGGGTAGCCTATAAAACCATTTGCTGACACAAAACCTGTCAAGAAATGAAAGGGAGGTTTAGAATTTAATAATTTGTATTACCTGATAGATTAATGTCATCGACTATTGCTTGACAGTAGCTACCAGCAGTTTCATTAGAAACTCCAGCTGCACACACATCACCTATCTGGCCATTAACGGTGACACCAATTATGAAATAGTAAGTAGTAACAAGATCCTGCATGTCACTTCCAGTGAAGTTGTAGAAAAGGTTACTATTAATTGGGCCATCACAGTAAACTTGAGCTGTGGAGAATAAGAATAATGACTCATGAATGAAACAATAGTAAATCACTCACAGCTTAAAGCCAAAAGAACAGCTACAACACTAAAGAGTCCTTTCATGATTGCTTCAGTTGATGTGCCTTCTACTTGCAGTACAAAAGTGGGCCTGCCTCTACCTTGAACTGTAACTGAGTCACTCCACTCTAAAAGTTAATGGACCCAGATCTTGACTTCCTAACTATCACAGTAGCAAGCACAATAATGACAAGAGGAACAAAACAGCAACTGTTATACTCGTCTTTCAATAGTTAACTAACTATTAGCATAAATGCCCACGTGCAATCACGTGGAGGAGCATCAGTTGCTATGACAACAATTTTAGTAAAATGGCGGACAGAAGTTTGCAGGTATTTAGATCCATTTTCTATCATTAATCGGCTTTTACTTTAGGTATCTTACGTGGAAGATGAATTTGCACCTGCGCAAGTAGGTCTAGTGAGTGAAGATATGTTTAAGAATGATTTTGTGATACTGCATATGTACATGTACATGTACATATATATATATATATATATATATATATACATCTACATGTATACATGTACATTTTCTTTTAGGAGGAGTTTGGTGAGTGGCAGCGAAGGTTTGATCAAGTTATTGAGGAATTGCCTGCATACGGTCCAACTCTAGCAAAAATAAAAGTAATTGAACTTATGATGTAGATATACATGTATTGTATTATATACATGCCATTTTGATGTATATACATGTATTATTGTTAATATCTTTTTCAGAAACAGTATGAGGCAGTTATTGGTTTTATAATTGACAGTAAGAGAGTCCGAGCATTAGTTCAACTTGACCGTGAGAAGAGAAAAAAGGACAAGCAGTCAATATTGTAAATATCATTGAATTTTACTTGTTTATTTATTTAGTTTTGTGTGTAGAAATTTTAAGAGACGCAAGGCAGAGCTCGAAGAGAAAATATTGAAATTATCTTCAGAAAATAAAAGACTCAAAAAAGAAATAGATACTACAAAGTAATTATTGCAACTAGTTCATCAGTACATGTACATATTGGGGGGTGTGGCTTTATTGGAAAGAACCATGGGCTATAGTACAGGGGATTTTTCAGATTTTGGCCCATTTTTTTTTAATGGTTGTAACTTGAAAAATTGAAGTCGGAATCTGCTCAAACTTTCTACACAGCATAAGGACATCAATGTGTATCAGAAAATGTAATAAAAATTGGGAGTGATTTTAGAGCCATTTTTTGGGAAAAACCATGGGCTATAATAGTACAGGGATTTTTTCAGATTTTGGCCCATTTTTTTTAAATGGATGTAACTTGAAAAATTGAAGTCGGAATCGGCTCAAACTTCCTACACAACATAAGTACATTAATATGTATCAGAAAATGTAATAAAAATTGGGGGTGATTTCGGAGCCATTTTTTGGAAAAAAACCATGGGCTATAGTACAGGGATTTTTTCAGATTTTGGCCCATTTCTTAAAATGGCCATAACTTGGAAAATTGAAGTCAGAATCAGCTCAAACTTTCTACACAGCATAAGGACATCAATATGTATCAGAAAATGTAATAAAAATTGGGAGTGATTTTGGAGCCATTTTTTGGAAAAAACCATGGGCTATAGTACAGGGATTTTTTCAGATTTTGGCCTGTTTTTTTAAATGGCCATAACTTGAAAAATTGAAGTCGGAATCGGCTCAAACTTTCTACACAACATAAGGACATCAATATGTATCAAAAAATGTAATAAAAATTGGGGGTGATTTTGGAGCCATTTTTTGGAAAAAACCATAGGCTATAGTACAGGGATTTTTTCAGATTTTGGCCCTTTTTTTAAATGGTCATATGTCAGTGTATTATTATTTTCCAGAGACGTCAATGCTGCTAGGAAAAAGGAGAAGGATAGGAGAGCCAGTCCTTATCATAAAAGGTTTCCAATTTCATCGGCCGACAGAAGATCCTTATCACTGACCCCCAGCGAAGCTATTAATATACAGTTTTTAGAAAAAGAAGTAATAATAATAATAATAATAATATTATTATTATTATTATTATTATTATTATTATTATATTGATAATAATAAACTCTTTAGCTAGCCAGGTTAAAACTGGTACTAGATGAAGTTCAATACAACACAGAGAAGAGGTACAGTATTAGTACAATAATACACCTGGTGATATTAATAATAATGTTACTCTAGATATGTACCTAAAAATCAGAAAGACATTCTACAACAACAGCTAATAAACAAAGAGGTACAGTACTTGTACACTTTCAGTATATTGCATGTACACTTTCAGTATATTGCTTTTACACTTTTAGTATATTGCATGTACACTTTCAGTATATTATGCATGTATTTGTACATGTAATTTGAATGTACAGTGCTTTATTTTCTATTTATCTGAACAGAAAGAGAAAGAAAAAATCGAACACGAAAATAAATATTTATGCCATCTCTACCTACAGCTTAGAGAATCAATTAAGGTAATGAATAAATAATGAGGTCCTCTTAATGAATAATTAATGAGGTCCTACCTAGGCTGCTAGATTGTATTATTCCAGTGTCCAATCATCTTCAAGCGGTCAGGATCATGTGGTTCCTTTATCAAAATACGCTCTTGATCTCTCAAGGAACATAACAATGGTTGATGTGATGAACACTTTAGAGGAACTAGGAGAGCAGGTACAGATACACATGTATGGTTGTAGATTGGGACATTATTGCTGTTAAAATAATAATATTGTTTTAATGGCTAAAATGTAGTCTATTATTATTATCATTGGAATTTTAGGATCCAGAAGAGGAGAAGGAAGCAGAGTTTATATTGCACTGTTGTCAAAAGTTTAATGAAGTATGGACAATGTGTATACACTGTACATGTTATATGAGATGATCTCTCACTCTTTCCTTTAGCTGTTTGACACTGAGCAGTTTACTGAAGCAGCTCTCATTGCAGCTACTTCTCCTAAAGTATTAAACATACACTTTATTATTTATTATCTTTATCATTATTATTTTTTTTTAATTTTATTATTATTATTTATTTTATTTTCATTTTTAGGGTGTTTTAAGAACAATCATAACTTTAAACAAATTTAAATCTCTCGCACCTCCAGTTAGCCCCACCCCTAGCCCCTCCCCCTCTCCTCTTATGACGTATTGCTCTGCTCTCATGGACTCCGCCCACATTTATCCTCCGGTCAGTACTGAGGAAGCTATGGAGTGTTTATATGCAGCTGTAGCTGAAAGTCATATTAACCTCATCGCTAAATGGATCAGCAAAGACTCCGTAAGTATTGTAAAATTTTAATGGGTAAGCAGGAAAAATTTAATGGGTAAGCAGGGAAATTTTTGCATGATGTTTGTCAATTTTATTTGTTATAAGATGTACAATGATAATATCTTTTGTTCAGTTGCCATTGTGTAAAGAAATGGGATCCTATCTTTACAAGCAATGTTCCTGTCCTGGTACCAAGTAATTATTATTTTATTATTATTTATTTAATTATTTATTTCTGTTTTCAGTTGCAGGTGTCAATTTTGTATGCTGTCGCTTGTAATTTACAAGAAATTGAACTGCAGTTTTGAGGTAATTTGTTATAAAATATTTTTAATTTTATGCTGTACCTTTCTTTCAACAGGAGTCACTCTGTTTAGCTAAACTAGGCAAGTATAGCTCAATGCTGAAGGACAAGCAGTATAATAAAAATGGTAGAATCACAGCAATAATTATTTATTTATTTATTTTATTTATTTATTTATTTTATTTATTTATTTATTTAATCAGATATTGCATCATTATTGTCTGCAGTTCCCAGTGTTGATCATGCTCTATTTCTGGTAGCTCCACCCACTGGCAATAGACCATCACTGCATCTTTTTGAAGTGAAAATTATTACATTTTCTGATACATATTGATGTACTTATGCTGTGTAGAAAGTTTGAGCTAATTCCAACTTCAATTTTTCAAGTTACGGCCATTTTAAGAAAATGCCAAAATTCTGAAAAAATCCCTGTACTATTATAGCCCATGGTTTTTTCCGAAAAATGGCTCCGAAATCATCCCCAATTTTTATTACATTTTCTGATACATATTGATGTACTTATGCTGTGTAGAAAGTTTGAGCTAATTCCGACTTCAATTTTTCAAGTTACGGCCATTTTAAGAAAATGCCAAAATTCTGAAAAAATCCCTGTACTATGGCCTTTCCAAAAAATGGCTCCAAAATCACCCCCAATTTTTATTACATTTTTTGATACATATTGATGTCCTTATGCTATTTTTATTTCTTAGGCTCTCTACGTTTTAGCTCAAACTGGCCCTCATCCTCAAAGATGTATTGAACTAGTTAAAGTACATTACAACAATCCTTTACTCTTAGCACCGTTACTTTCTACATTTTAGTCATTTGCTGTTCTTAGAAAGCTCAGCTGGCAAGAAGCGATCGGCCATGAAACACGGTTGGAATAGAGACAGAGAAAGAGAGATTTATTATAGATAAAGCTATGTAGTAGATGTCCTTACGACAACTGTAGTAACATGTACATGTACATGTACATCGTCGGACTCCGTCTGTTCTTCTATAGCTTCTTGTCAGCAGCTGCCAACTGTATTTCAAATATAGCTAGAGGATAGAAGCCACTTTGTAAACACCTTCCCTTTGTTTCTAAGGGGATGTACAAATACGCCAGTAATGTGTCTGTGTATGGTTTTGATAAGCCTCTCGTAGAACTATCGATATGATAAGAACGCTCTCACCACTGGAGCTCTGACCATGAGCTACACAGGCAAAGCAGACCTACACGTACTTGTAAAATCTCAAGACTCCAAGTAGAGAAGCCACTCAATGTCTCTACTCATTAGTGCATCAAGTGGTATGTACCTAACGAGATTGAATGGTTTTAGAACTATTCCTTTGGAATGTGTATTGAAAGGCACATTTATGTATGCAGGACTGAGGGGTAGTCCTTAAAATAACTGTCAAGAGTAGTCTAGGGCCAGTTTGCCACCTATGTAGGCTTGAGCTATTGTCTCTCTCTCTCTCTCTCTCTTTGTTTTAGAATTGTGAGTTTCCCCTTCTGGGAATAGGAGATTGTAAATAGCTTGTAGCTACACTGTAGTAGTGAACTAATTACTACTACTAGTAATGATGATGATACTCTCTTTCCTTCCTTCCTTCTAGATTGAGACCTGATCTTGCTCATAATCTCATTCCTGTGCTGTCCCAGTTCCCAGAACTAGATTGGCTTGTAAGTGCAACCAGCAGATCCTGTGAAATGTATCTTTTGAATTCCAGTTATTCAAATTTCGCGTACAACTACAAGTGTGGTCGTATATTGACAGCTACAGTAACATGCATTTGCTGTTTACTTGACACGTGATTGTGTTTCATTTGTAACTTTAACGCTATAACCTGCAACCATCACGTATGGCGTACATGACGTATCCATGGCTATGTTAAGGCATCAAAGCTGCAATTGTTTTTAGCTTTTGGCAATTGATTAATGTGTGCTTGTGTGTGTTTAAAGTTGTTTGTTTATGATTGATAGAAACTTACTATTGTTTCTGTTATTTGGCTGTAAGCTCTGGCTGTTGTCCACATTACATATTTCATTAACAATTTTCATTAATAATCTCTCCCTCCCTCCCTCTCTCTCTCTTTCTCCTATGTACCCGTAGGTTCTACAGCTATCAGTCTCCTATACGGTATACACAGTTTTATTGAGAGCCATTGAAAGGATCAACAGATCAATGTCTGAGTCTTCAATGAATAGTTCTTCCTACGGCCCCAAGAGCGAGTCCACTCCTCCTGAGAGCAGGGCCACTAGCTCCTCCTCTAGGCCTAAGTTGACCCGCAGCAAGAGGTTTGATGCTGATGATGGAACCGACTTCACTAGTAGGAGCACCAGCAGTGCTAGTACTAGCAGTGATAGTGGTACAGACTCCAAGGCCACTCCTCCAGTGAAGGATTCCGACAAGTGATTGATGACTCTTGGCGTGAAACGGCACCTTTTCTCTGACTTAGCAGGCAATCTCTTCTTTGTTTTGTTTTATTCTCAACACTATCACTCAATTAGTTACCTCATAGTCCACTAGTTTTCTCTTTTAAACACACAGGGATAGGTCTAATAGCAATCTTCACTGCAGCAGTATTATCATCAGTATCATTTTGACTTGTAATTTAGTTTATTGTAGAAACAAAACATTGTATTATAGTAATCTATTTCATTTATGATAACAATTAGTTGATTAAAATAACAATCCAAATTCACGTGTTTCTGCATGAAGGATGCAGCAATGACCTCATTGTGTAGTATTGTACATGTACATCTATCCTGAGGGATATTGTGACATGTACTGACTGGCTGTCCATAAACTGATACACTATAGCCCCATCACTATGAGTAGGATTGCTCCTCTTATTTTAGTGGGAGAGGGTTTGTGTGTCCAAGAGAATGAGCTCATTTATCATGGGCTGTCTTGAACATGTCAGGTCCTTTGTTTGTCATAAATATAGATAGACTATTAGTTACATGATTTTAAGATAAGGAGCCTTTGTAATGAGATATGTCAAAGATATAGGATTCTATATTATACTGTAACGAGAACAGCTATTGGTTATTATTGGCTTCAATGATTTACTTTGATATGATAGAGCAGATTGAATGTTGTTTTTTGTCGTTTATTTCAAATTACTATCAATATTAGTGTAATTATTAGATAATTAGTATAATAATGCTGGACTGGTTTATACACAAGTAGCTTCCTTTATAAAAGATATGAGAGTCATCAAGATAATGGCAACAGTAAACAGCTTTAATTTAGGATAAATAACGTTTAATTTAGATAACGGCTAACCACCAACAGATGCCAAGTCCATGCATGACACAACATGTAGCAAAACATGTGATACAGCTATAGTTTATTACAGAGGGTATACCACAAAGCTGCAGTGTGTAGGTATGCATGTAGAGCTGTTGTCTATGAGCAGGGAGTTACTAATGAGTTAGTAATTGATTTGACAGGAATGCATGTAACAGTACAATGTGTCACAATGTCCCTACAGCTTGTTTATCATGTACAGTAACTGATCCATGTTAGTGTCACTGATATTTTTCACCACTGCAGACCTTTAAAGGAGTATCATTTGTACCACAGCTTGTCATAACAAAAACTCCTTAACAAAGGAACAACAAAAACAAAAAATTAAAAAACAACAACAATAACAACAACGAAATTAAAATCAACTAATTGTTCCTTCTAATAATTTCTTGACTAATCTCAATGGCTAGGCCGGTTTCATTAACAAAAGGAGAAGAGAGTCCTTGAAGAAGTGTAACCCATGTATACGGCATTGCCCCTTTCTCCCACAACTCAAACACGTCCATATAGCAATGGCTGGGTACTCTGTTCCGCCTATCATATATACCGTCAAGCTCTGAGACTCGTAGACCCAGCTGGAGCCCAAGGTCCCTCCATTTGTTGGGTATCCTAGCAGCTACGAGATTAGACAGATCCCGGAAGGAAGGTCCTGTCTGGAGTGACGGGTGGTTGAAGTCAATTGTGTTGTTTGATGTGGGCGGAGTTTCTCCGACGTCTATAAATAGAAACGATGAAAACTAAACTATTAATAGTAACAGCGAATAACTAGTACTCTAAACATTATTATACAAATGATTCTGCTAGCATTAGCATAACTAAGAATCTCAGAGGAATATTATATCAATTATTACGTTACTCTATTGAGAGATGATAATGAAATTATGAGAAAAGGAAAGAGAGAATTAGCTCACCTTCTCCACTGGCTGAAGGAGCGGCCCTCCCACCTGATGCCTCTATAAAATAACAATTAACATCAAATAACTCTCTCGGAACAAAAGATGCGCTGATAGTAGTATCTTACTACAACTGATGCATATTAATGATAGCCATGTCATGATATCATCTGTTTATTTATATAATGAATATCAAATCCTGTTCTTGGTACAAGTAATCATTTAAATCATGTATGGGGGGGAATAAGCCAACTGCCTGGTAGATGATTTCAAATTAATATTGGGCTGGCAGCCAAACTAATCTGGCTGTTAGGATGATACCAATCACACGATGGGCTGAGGATTAGCTAGTACGATACTAAAATGAAGTACTGCTCGTTATGTTCATGATTACGAAATGCTTTGTGCTAAAGGTGAGGGTAACAAACAATGCAGTGTTAAGGATCAATCGTCTGACATCGTTGAAAAATAAACAACATGGAGCAAGACGCATGTGTACAGAATTAGACACTTATTAACACTCTAAAGTGCAGGAATTAGTAAGACCACGCCCTATACAAGCCCCGCCCCATAACCAACTCACCACATTTCTCGTACAACATTTGTGCTAGCTCATTAAAGCCGTGAACGTTGAGTTTCTCGACTAAAGTGTAGAATTTGTTTGGGCTGTATTCAACAGTGACGTGAACAGCACTGATCAGTTGTGAAGCTAGGTCATAAGGAGCCACGCCTCTTATAGCAGTGACAGCTGTCCTGGTAGTCGTTGAAATGATACTAGCAGCACATAAATCATTAGCCAAAGGAGATATGGAGTTGGGGACCTGACTAAGGGCGTCACAAATGTCGTGAAAGTGCTCTCTTAGAGTCCTGTATTCTGGTGACTTCTTGGACGCCATTTTGAATTTTGGTTCTCTGGGGGTGTGGTAATGTGATTCTAGAGACATTCCCGGGAACACGACCGGGAAATGATTTACCGCATAATCAATGATGGGTGAGGCTCAGGAACTTGGAGGCATTACAAAAACAGTCTCCTTTCTTGTTGTTATCATTGCGCTTCTCTCAGTTGTACTATCACTTGTAAACAGAGATGTCTCTCTTGCTACTACTACTATCTGTATTATTTCTAGCTTGTCCTATTTCTGTACACAGCAACAGTGAAGAAGAAGATGATGATATTATCAATCTGCTAGCTCTTGTCCCGTGGCCTGATGACCGGCCTCATGCTGACTGGGATGCTGGCCCTGATCTATGACAGGAGCTAGA